TGTATGTGTATAAATTAACTATAAAATAATATCCAATTAAAGAAAATTCTAGATTTCATTTCTAGAGTGGAGTTCTTCAAATTAATAGGCTGAGAAATAAAATGCCAGCCTTTTGAGATGATTTTAACCACTATTATTTATTATTATTATTATTCTAGAGAGGGAGGAAGAGAGAGAGGGACAGGAGGGAGGGATTGAAAGAGGGAGGGAGAAAAAAAGGCAGAGAAAGGAGGGAAAGAGTGAAGAAGGGAGGATGGGAGAGAAAGAGACAGACAGATGGACAGACATTGATATGAGAGAGAGACACTGATCTACTCTCTCATGTACATGCCCCAAGAGGGAATCAAGCCTAAAATCTAGGTATGTGCCCTGACCGGAAATTGAACTCACAGCCCATCAGTGCACAGAACAACACTCCAACCAACTGAACCACACCGGCCTTGCTAACCATTATTTCTTTAATGAAGGAAGAACACAATTGAAAGTTAAAACCTTTAAAAATTATAAAAATTGATTAAATCAAATTTTAAAACTTGTAACTGATATCAAGAAAACAAAAGATAACTCATAAAATGGGAGAAATATTTGCAAATTATGTCTGATAAGGGACAGGTACAAAATATAAAGAACTCATAACTAAAAAAGACAACGTAACTAAAAAGGGGTAAAAGGGATTTAAAGACATTTCTCCAATTAAGATGACCAATAAGCACATGAAAAGATGCTTAAAATCATTAGCCATTAGTGAAATGCAAATCAAAACCGTAATGAGATACCACTTCACAAACACTAGGATTGCTATAAGCTACAAGAGACATCAAGCAGTGGTGAAAACTTGGACTCCTCAATCATAGCTGTTGGGAATGTAAAATGGTGCAGCCACTGTGACAAGTTTGGCAGTTATAAAAACGTTAAACACTGAGTTACCAAGACACGGAAATTCCTCCCCTAGGTATATGTACCCAAGAGAATTGAAAACATAAAATGTACACAAAAACTTGTACACAAACAGTCACTGCAGGATTATTCACATAGCTAAATAGAAACAATTCAAATGTCCCATAACTGATAAATGAATGTGTAAACAAAATCCAGTATGACTATACAATGAAATATTATTCAGCCTTAAACAGGAAGAAAATTCTAATCAAGGCTACAACATGAATGAATCTTGAAAACACATTAAGTGAAAGAGGTTTTGCAGTAGTTTGATACTAAGTCTCGCTTTTGCACAGAAATGCTCTATCAGAAATGCTCTTTCAACATTCCCTTTCTTCACACACCCCTAGTCTATCCTGTTTCCCCGAAAATAAGACAGTGTCTTATATTAATTTTTGCTCCCAAAGATGCGCTAGGTCTTATTTTCAGGGGATGTCTTATTTTTCCATGAAGAATACGGTATACATTTATTGTTAAATGAAAATAAAGGATATTTATTACCTGTATACAGTACGGTAGTATGGTAGTTGTCAACACAAACCAGACAAACTGTGAATCCTACAGTATCAAGAATTTACTCATTTATTCAATGACAATCATGTCATCATCTTCTGGAACATCATAACAATCCAATTCCTGAATTTCCTTGTGAATTTCTTGTGACTCCATTTCTTTCAGAATCAGTGGACCAAATCTCTCATGTTTAGCCTAGGGGGGCCTTATTTTCAGGGGGGATGCCTTATATTTCACTCAGAAGGAAACCTGTAAATAGGTCTTATTTTCAGAGGATGTCTTATTTTCGGGAAACCCGGTAGATAATTTCTTTCTCAGAACTCAGATTAAATGCCCCTGTTCCGGCCAAGCCAGCATGGCTCATTGGTTGAGCATCAACCAATGGAGATCACAGTCTGATTCCTGGTCAGGGCACATGCCCAAATTGTGGGCTCAATCCCCAAGGGAGAGCATGCAGGAAGCAGCCTATCAATGATTCTCTCTCATCACTAATGTTTCTGTATCTCTCTCCCTCCTTCTTTCCTCTCTGAAATCAATAAAAACATATAAAAAATAATAAATGCCCTTGCTCCAGGCAGCTTTCTCTCACCCAAGAATAAATCAATCAGTTCCACTTGCTATGTAGTTGAAGGCACACTGTGATTCTTCTTGGTAATTATACTTAGGCATCTTTATCTTTCTATCCAAGCTATTGTCCGCATGAATACAAGAGTTAAGCCTCTCTTGTTCACCACTGTACTCATAAAATGGGTACCTAAGCATTAATCACGGTATACAACAAACTCTTAATGCAGCGATTTTTTTAACATTTTTCATCTCATGGTGCACATAAACTAATTACTAAAATTTTGCAACACACCAAAAATATATATATTTTGCCAATCTGTTGAAAAAAATTGGTATAATTCTGATTCATTCACACCAGGCAGCTATTATGTGGGCTACTGTCATCTTGTTTTTTGACAATCTATGGAAAAAGAGGTCAGTGTCCCTTAGTCAGGTACTGCATGTTTTGTTTTAAAAATTCTTGCAATACAGCAGTTGAAAATCAGTCTTAATGAATTAATCAATGAGTGAAAAAATTTTAGAACACAACTCTGCCAGTATGGCTAGTGGCTCAGTGGTCAACCAGGAACCAAGAGGTCACAAGTTTGAGTCCATGTTAGGGCACATGCCAGGGATTGCAGGCCCGAACCTCAGAGTGGGACATGTAGGAGGCAGCAGATCGATGGATGATGTTCCTGTCTCATTGATGTTTCTACCTCTCTACTCCTCTTCCTTTCTCTCTAAAAACCAATTTTAAAAATATTTTTAAAAAATTTTAGAACATAATTTAATCTTTCCTGATCACTTAGGCTGATTTATAAGAAACCTAAATTAGAGCTGGATGGATTGCTCAGTTGGAGCATTGTCCAGTACACCAAAAGGTTATGGGTGTGGTTCCTGGTTGGGGCACACACCAGAGGCAACTGATCAATGTTTCTTTCTCACATCGATGTTTTTCTCTTTCTCCTTCCTCTCTCTCTAAAATCAATCAATAAATTAAAAAATTCTCAGATGAGGATTTAAAAAAAACACACCAAATTATTAATATGTACACATTTCAGATATGTAAGATAATGTGTATGTGGTTTCTTCCTCATGGCCCCAGAATGTTATACATTCATTTTAAGTACATGTATCTTTATTTTTTTTTCTCCTTTCAAACTATAAATTGTCATTTTCTACTAATTTCAAGTCTGTTTTCTAGCAAATTCCAACTACTTCTAATTTGCAGAAATCTGCTAAGCTAAAAGCAGATAAATTCAACTATAAAGAAATAACTGGTATAAGAACCAAATAGTAGTACATAGTTTCTGAGAACTTTTTCTTTTGGAGACAGGAGCAGGCAATAGTGGAATAGAATGAAAAGGGGATACAAAGAAGCAAGATGCTCTTTTATAAGTAAACTACTTAAATAACATTGCATAATTTCTTTGTTAACAAAGCCTTTTATTTTTGCTAACTTTGGTTTATTCTGTTAAATAGTTCCAGACGATTGCTATATATGTTTCTGCATTATAATAAACAATTCTATATCTCTCTCCCTCCTCTCTTTCTCTCTGAAATCAGTAAAAATACATAAAAAATAATAAATGCCATTGCTCCAGGCAGCTTTCTCTCACTCAAGAATCAATCAATCAGTTCCACTTACTATATAGTGGAACAGAAAAATATAAAATTAAACATTCTATTGTATAAGGTAAAAAAGAAAAGAGCATTATTTAAAAATCTTTGGTCCAAGATAATGGGGGAAAATAATATTTGAGTTCTCATCAATTCAAGGTGCACTTTTCCCATTTACAAATACAGGGTGGGGCAAAAGAAGGTTTACAGTTATTCATATGAAAAATAATGCAATAATAACACAAGAATAAACTAGGTGTTTCATGTATTCATAACTATAAACCTACATTTGTGTGTAAGAAAGTGAAATATGCTTCTTAATCAAGGCCTTAAAATGGCAATACTTTTCTCTTAGTTGCACATAAAATAATGGTATACTTTATAACTAATAGCATCTTGCATTTGATGAAATATATAATTTGATGCAATAAAAACATTAATCTTTTTTACTTTCTCAACTAGATAACTGTTATCTACTCATGGTATTAGCACATTCCATCTCCCTTATGCTCAAATAAAAAACCTAATGCTCATATTAATGATCCTAAGAAGAGATAAAAACCAATACAAAAGAAAAAAGAAAAGCAGTGATTTGGTTTCACTGAGAAATCTTACCATTAAAAGATAATGGGTCCCTATTAATGAATGAACCAAATTAAAATCTTGCTTAAGAAACCTTTAGTAAAATCCCTTAGAATTCTTATCTTTTGTATCTATCTTGGCTATGTTATATGTAGTCATCATAATAGTTAACAAAATTCTTTAATAATTTATTTTGAATAAACAGAAATAAATCTTCTCAGGTTCATAAGATTAATAATCTATAAGTAGTCCTGAAATTTGCAGATAAAGTAAGGCATTAAATTTAGTGTAATTTAGAGCATTAGAATTATCTATAAGTATAACTCACAACTGAATATACTACTTCAATTCTCAGCAACTCTTATTAATGTGACTTCGAATTTTAAACTATCATAATTACAAAATAACTTGAAATTTTTCATTTAAATACAAAAGCAAGAACTGAACACACTCAATAAGTGTAATCTCTATACAAAATAAAACTCTCCACAAAACTTATATACCATTTTTTTTTCCTCAGAAGCAAAAATGTAAACCAAATACTTCTAGAAAAGATTATCATTTCTCTTAAAATAGGTTATATTTTCTCTTAAATAGGAAAGCATCAGAAGAAATATTTCCACTTACAGCTAATGACAAAAAGAACAAAAATCAATGAGAAACAAGTTATAATAATAATGTCTGTTGACAAAGAACATTTTTAAAGAAGTAACTAAATAAAAACTTTGATCTTATAATCATCACCCAAGTAAAAACACTAACAAATTACTCTTTATTTAAATAAATAAAAAAATACCTACCTTTGTCTGGGAACTATAAAGAGTGCTCGTACCAACTTCTTCCTATTTGCTTTTGTGTTCATGTTCATGCAAAAATCCATTGCTGCCTATAAGAGAAAAAGCAAACTTTTTCTTAAAAATAAATAAATAAATAAATCTTTATTTAGCTACTAAAAACAGAAACCCTGGATACTACAATGGATTTCTACTTGGTTCCTAAACATTTCAAATGGTTTTAAAACACTAGTATTGTAAGCATATCCAAATTAAAAGATCACCGAGCTTAAACTCCTCTGTTCTTACCTTATCTCAAAATATGTTTCATAAACTTTTAAATTGCAACCTAGTGTTAGAAAAAGAACTTTGGGTAAATTGATGATCATGCAATGTTTGGCAAATTACATTAAATGCACAATCAATGCTTTAACCTCATTCAAGTTAAAAAAAATCAATGTTGATAATCAGAAAAATTTTCTGCAAGAACAGTTACCAGGAGCCAAATAAATTACTAATACTAAACCAGATAATCAAAAAGGAATAAAGATAAAGTAGGTAAGAGAGATAGGCATAGATTATTCCAAGGAACATGTAAGAGTAAGTGCCTCAACAATGACTGAAAGGTTCAGGGTCAGCAATCAGATTTAGTAAATTAATTAAGCCAACCATATCACAGGACTATAATAAATATCCACACCTGTTATTTAGTGTAGTACTCTACTGTCTTATATTTTAATAACAAAAATACATTCAATATTTCTTCAACATGTCTAACATCTAATATTTGTGTAAAAGAACAAAATAAATCCAGAGACAGAAACATGGAACAGACTTAAGAATCTAGGGGAGCCCTAACTGGTGTGGCTCAGTAGACGTTGGCCTGCAGACAGAAGGATCCCCGGTTCAATTCCAGGTCAAGGGCATATATACCTTGGTTGCGGGCACATCCCCAGTATTGAGTGTGCAAGAGGCAACTGATCAATGTTTCTCTCTTCTCCGTGTTTCTAACTCTCTCTCTCCCTCCCCTTCCTCTCTAAAAAAAAAATCAATAAATATATTTTTTTTAAAAGAATCTGGGGGAAGTCGGGGAGGGGGGGAGAAACAGGGTGGACGGGAAGAAAGATCAATCAAAGAACTTATATACATAGTAGTAGCCTTGCACATGAATCCGTGCACTAGTACCTGGCCAGTAACTTGCTGCTGCCCTCCAGTAGCTCTCTGCCAGCTGATCCACCCTCCTGTAGCTCCCCCTCCCCATCCCCATAGCTAGCTGCCCTGCTGCCTTCTGTAGCTCTCCACCAATCACTAGTAGCCAGTAGCTCCCTGTAGCTGCCTCTGCCTCCCTCCCCCATAGCTAGCTGCCCTGCCCTCTCCTATAGCTCTCTGCCACCAGCTTGTAGCTCACTGTCCCACCCTCCTGCTGATCCGTGATCCAGTCGTTACACAGTGTAACAACCACTTGCATATTACATCTTTATTATATAGAATATGCATAACCCATGGACACAGACAATAGTGTGGTGAAGGCGTGGGGCAGGAGGAGAGGATGGGCTAGAAGACGTCAATGGGGGAGAAAAGGGTTATCTGTAATACTTTCAAAAATAAAGATAAATTTAACCTTAAAAATAAAAAAGAGCCCTGCCTGGTTTTGCTCAGTGGATAGAGCATTGGCCTGCAAACTGGAGGTCCCAGGTTTGATTCTAGTCAAGGGTATGTACCTTGATTGCAGGCACATCCCCAGTAGGGAGTGTGCAAGAGGCAGCTGATCAATGTTGCTCTTTCATCGATGTTTCTAGCACTCTATTCCTCTGCCTCTCCCTCTCCCTTCCTCTGTAAAAAATCAATAAAATATATTTGAAAAATAAAAATAATAAAAAAATGAAAAAGTCTAAGAGAGTTATATGTTCTAGGAAACCACTGGAAACGACAACATGAAGTACCTGGTATTTTTAAAATGTAGGCATGTATGTTTTTTTAATGTTTTAGAAAATAACAAGTTTGTTATAATTTAAAAAGGGATATACTATTACCAAATATCCTTTTGAGTTTCTCAAATATTTTCCTTTCATAGGCTCACATAAGTATTTTATCATCCATACCAATCTTCAGGTAGATTTGAAAATCGGATACAAATAAAAGATTCTTAGATTTTCCTGAATTGGATTTCTATTCTTTACTGTAGATGATAATATAATAAAACACCTCTAATTTGGTTAAAACTTTTGATGAAATAAATAGCACAACTGAAATTGATAATGTTTAAACTTAGGAAACTAGCTCACATTGAAAATATCCACCAAGACTAAAATGTTAGATCAATTAGCCAAGGAAGCAAAATCTATTTTTTTCTTCTTCTGCTTATAAAGGAAATGTAATAAATGTCATTGAAGTTTACATTTTATAACATTAAAGATTATAGTTAATGAGAATAACAAAGAAAAACTTAAAATTCAAGCAATTCACTCAAATTAAAAATTCGGGGGGGAGGGGGCAATGGTAAGATATGTACACATATAATACCTTAATAAAAAATTCTGAATCTACTAATAAAAATCCCAAAGGTCACATACTTAGAAAACTAGAAAACTTCACACACACACACACACACACACACACACTCACACATACCAAAAGAAAAAAGAAAAAAATAACTTGCATATCAACATCTTTGAAAAGTATACTTTAAAAAAGTTTTAATGACTAATAATGGCCTAGTTTTCAACATAATTAGGAAACACAAAAATAAAAAGTACTTCAATAACTATTTTAGACATTATCTTTTAAATATATATATACTCTATATTTTATAAAAATAGGTTAGTCAATAAGTACTTCTCCTATCATTATAATGAAAGGCCAGTTAGATGAAAAACAAACAAAAAACAGAAAACCAGTATAACGTTCAAAACTTTCCACAGATTAAAAGTTCGTAAAGCGTATCAATGCCTGGTACACACAATAGGTTTTCAATAAATGTGTCAGGTAAAATTGTACAGGAGTGAGAGAACTGCCAGAATTAATAAACCTGAAGAAATTTAAAAATAAAAAAAATAAGCTTCACATGTATATGAACTCTTAGATTTAAACTGGTTCTGCCCTTTGGGGAGAAATGAAAGTAAAAAGATGTCTTGGTTAAAACTGCTGCTTGACAACTCAGTAAAAAGTTTTTCAAAAACTTGTTTCAAAATGTTTTAGGTAAATGAAAAAAAGTTTAACACCTTTTTTTTATTTTATGAAGTAAAAATAAATTCTTCTGATCATCAAATGCATGTAGAAATAAGCATTACCAAGTGACCTAAAAGAAATCTTCACTTTGGGTTATATACTTTATCTTAATTATTGAGTTCAAAAAATTCTTAGATGTTTCTACCTATTTCCCAAATACTTTTCCCTCTTTAGCCATTTGGACCTTTGACAACATTTATAGAAGAAATTCCTGTCATGAGAAAGCTGACTCCCACAAGAATCCACCAGGGTCCAATCGAACAGGGAAGAGTGGCCACTAGTATTTTTCATTTGCCCCTCAGAAAGCTAACTTAGAATTTAATATATGACTATTATTGTCCACACCACTTAATACTGAGCTGGGCACTAAAGGATACTTTCCAATAAAGATTCATACCAATATTGCTACTTACATACAAAACTGATAACATCTTTCCTGCCTTCAGCTTTCACTATAGTACTCAAAATGGACTTTGGGAGGTGGAGCAGGAGTATCAAGGTATTTCTCTTTCATCCTCTGTTTATATGCAATAAATAAATTAAAATTTAGTAGGGGAAAGATTTAGTCATATTCCAAACTTGGAAAATAAGCAATTGTTTAAAAGATGGTTTCTGATACACTCTTTAAAAGAAAGAAAAAAAAGGCTTTTTTTTTTTAATCCTCACCTGAGGATATTTTTATTGATTGTTTAGAGATACAGAATGAAAGAGAAATAGCGATGTGCAAGAGAAACACTGATTGGTTGCCTACCGTACCCACCCTAACTGGGGACCAAACACTCAACTTTAGTGGTATACAATCAGCTGAGCCATCCAGCTGGGCTAGACTACCTAAAACTGAAATAAATCTGTAATTACATTTTTTAAAACACTGATCTAATCAATGCAAAAAGTAAGGTAATTTAGAGTTTAAAACCTGTTTGATTATATATAGTTATCGAAATACATCTAAATTACCTGAAAAAGAGATGCAGAAACCAAAAGTAAAAAGTAACCTAACTTCTGTAGTTCTCTATAGGGGACCCTCAAAGCACTATGAGCGGGGAGGGGAGGGAGGGTAAAAACACAGCCTAAAGCAACAATTTTCAAGCTTTGGGTCTCAAGAGCCTTTTATGCTCTTAAAAATTATTAAAAGCCCAAGCTGGCCAGTGTTTCCAAGTGATTAGAATGTCAGCCCTCGCACCAAAGGGTCACAGGTTCCATTCTTCCTGGTCAAGGGCACGTATGTGGGTTGCAAGTTCAATCCCCAGCCCCAGTTGGGGTATGTGTGAGAGACAACCGATCAATGTGTCTAAAATCTATGTTTCTCTCTCTCTCTCCCCCACATTCCCAACTCTACTCTCTCTAAAAATCAATGGAAAAAATATCCTTGGGTAAGGATTAACAACAAAAAATTATTCAGGACCTGAGAGAACTTAATTTATATGGCTTATATTTATTGGCATTTACTGTTAGAAATTAAAACTGTGAAACTTTAAACTTACCAATTCACTTAAAAATACCAATAAACCTATTATTTGTTAACAGTTTTTGGAAATAAGTATATTTAAAAAAAAATAAATGTTGCCCTGCCTAGAGTGGCTCAGTTGTTGGTTGGGCACCATCCTGCATACCAAAAGGTCTCCAGTTAATTCCCCATCAAAGCACATACCCAGATGGTGGACTCGATCGCTGGTCAGGGTTCGTTCGGGAGGCACCAGATCAATGTTTCTCTCTAACATCAATGTTTCTCTCTCTCCCTCTCCCTTCCTCTGTCTCTCAAGACAATAAAAGACATATTTAAAAACAACTAAAATAAAAATTTAGGGACAGACGAGTGGCACTCTTTTAGAAGATAACAAGTCTGATATCTATTATGCATGCAGTCTGTTGTGATGTGTTTAGCTGAACTATATGAAGAAAATCCAAATTTACACATATATATCGCTAGGAAAAGAGGTGACTTTTAATATCGTTTTCGGGATTTCTAAATATTCTTTGATAAGTGGTAGGTTCTTAAGGGCTAGGAGAAATGTGGAATCTGAAATCTTATCATATTCCCATACTGTTGGATTAAAATCTACCTTGCACTTGGAGTGGATCCTTAATAACCAAGCAAGACTTGGTTAGCATTGTGCATTGATCACTCAGAACAATGGTTTACTGAGTTAAGCTGGTCTTCCAAACCAGCTTTTTTTAAATTACATTATTTAATATCACCACCATACCTATCAGGAAAATCTCATGGATAAAGTCTCCTCAGAAAACAACTGGGAAGCTGTCAAGTTTATAGTAGTGGACTTAAGTTTTTCAAAATTCTAATTTTTGTTGACAACTCAAATGTGTTCATTGGCAATAAATACTTTTAGTTGTTTTCCTTGAAGTGTAAGATTCATCTTGTTCATGTTAGAAAATTGTCAGCTATTCTGAGTTTTTTGTTTGTTTTTTTTAATCCTTACTGAAGGATATTTTCCCATTGATTTTTAGAGTGGAAGAGAGAGGGAAAGACAGAAAGGAATATCAATGTGATACAAACACATCGTCTGGTTGCCTCCTACATGTGCCCTAACCAGGGCACCAGCCAGGAAGGAACCTGCAACCCAGGTACATGCCCTTGACTAGAATCGAACTTGTATCCTTCAGTCCTCAGGCCAATGCTCTACCCACTGAGTCAAACTGGTTAGGGCCATTCTGAGTCTTTTAACAAAATAGATTGGGAAATTAAACTAAGAAGAGCTTATAAATTGATGGACTACAATCCACTTTGAATTAATGATTACATTACATAACTTTCATTAGATAACTTAGTTATATTATTTTCTTGGTATCAATAAAATTTTACTGATCTACCCATTCTGTTTTAGTCTATTTCAAATAACATATCCAATTCTAAACACCATTAACTATAGGCAATGAGTGACTTTGACATCTATTCCAATCCTTTCAGAAATTTTTGGAGTGGAATACAAGATTATTTTAATAGTAATCATGATTACAAACAGAATCTTATCATAATCTTTAAAAAAAAAACAAAAAAAAAAAAAAAAAAAAAAAACCAAGAGAAAAAATAAAAATGTCGGCTGAACACCCAAGATGGAAAAAATAATCACAGTTCTTTCAAGTAAAAATGGTATTCTATGAAAAAAAAATTAGTTCAGCTTGTAACTCAAACACAAGTCGTTTTTCCCAGACAACTTTAAGAAAGCAGAAGTGCTTTTCCTGTCCTCCCATTTTGTCAGATTAAAAGGTCAGGACTCAAAAGTTGAAATGAAATAAAAGCACTAATTTGTATGGATTCATCAAGGAGATTCTTAAGTGAAGTGGCATTTTTTTAAAAATTCAAATGCATTGCAGCAAAGACTACAAGGGTACAAGTACAGCTTACTACCACTTCATTTCGATTTGTGTAAAAATGTCAGCGGCTTTATCCTTAATCATTTTTGTAAATATTGAAAAGAGTGAAAAAGGAAAAAAAAAATACCTTAATATTAGTATGAAAAGAGTTTTGACCTTATATACCCCCATTAAGTGCCTAGGAAGACAGCAATAGTCTATAAAGCTTCTAAAAGTTTCTGTTCTACTTTCGAAACTGTGGGATCCTTATGTGATGAGGTGTTAAGCAAACAGGATTTTAAGGACAGTTCCACTTCCAAACTGAACATCTATAGAATGGCTCCACATTTGTGCGTTTATTTTGGATACCAATATAAGATCCCATCTGAGTCCTAACCAGTTTCAGTCAGTGGATAGAGTGTCGGCCTGAGGACTGAATGGTCCCAGTTTCGATTCCGGTCAAGAGCATGTACCTTGGTTGCGGGCATATCACCAGTAGGGAGTGTGCAAGAGACAGCGGAATCGATGTTTCTCTCATCGATGTTTCTGACTCTTTATCTCTTTCCCTCTCTCTCTCTATCTGTAAAAAAATCAATAAAATATATATTTTTTTAAAAGATTCCATTTGAAGAAATGGTTCATTCTATAACTAAAATAGTCCAAAAACTGCAGAGATTATTAATTAGAGTTATCCTTCAGGGTGTATATGCTTCAGTAAAGTTATACTGAGACAATCATACCTTGTCTATCAGATCTCGGTTCACACAGTTGGGCAATTGCTGGAGAAAAGCATCTACTATGAGCTTCAGATGAGATCCAGTGCTGGTTTCTTCATCCTCTTGTTCTAAGTTTTAAAATAAGCAATATAATAAAAAAAATATGCAATTATTAGTTATTTGGGAAATAGATAATCTAGAGCACTTTTCTTACCAATGAAAAAAAATAAAGCATTTTTTGAGATTTGGACCTAGAAAGTTTGGGTATCTCTAGAATCACAACCCCAAGTCATTACACCCTTTATATATCAACAATAAACAAACAAACTTTTGCATTAGACACAAAATATTAATCATAAATTGCATGTAGTTTTATGGTAAGTCTGTTACTTTTATTTGCCAAGCATCCCTTCCTGCGAATCTTCAATTAACAGCACTCTCGTTGCTGCCTTTTGAAGAAAGTCCATGGGATTCTGATGGGGAAGGGTTCTGCCAGATCACAGGACACCTCCATTTCCCCTGGGTCACCAGCTAAGTCCTTCCATGACACTTATTTAGACAGTGGAGAGAATCTCTTTCCCTTTATGTCACTAGCTGGTATGATTTGAGCATGAGGCACCCACCCTCTATTCATGACACTGAGAAAGAAAATCTGCAGCAGTAAACAATGAAGCCATTAGAGCGAAAAGAAATATTGACAGAAGATATCTTTCTAAATAAAGAATCCTAAATAATAAAACAATATTTTTATTATTGAATATAAAGCATTACTCAATTATAAATACAGATAAAATGATCACAGATGAACTGATCTACTAGTTGTCTTATCTATCAACCATTTAATTTATTTACTTTACTTTATTTTATTTTATTTTTTTGGTGCCCTGGGTGGGAATCAAACCAGCAACATTTCAGTGCATGAGACAACACCCACCCCACTGATCCACATCGGCCAGGGCTATCTCTCAACCATTTTGAATCACTTTCAGATACATTTATATTAAGACTAGAGGCCTGGTGCACGAAATTCATGCCTGCACCCATTCACAGTCTGGGGGATGTCTAACTGACGGCTTATGCCCGCTCCCTGCAGAGAGCCGAACTAAGTTGGCAGTCAGACATCCTTAGTGCTGCTGTGGAGGCAGGAGAGACTCCCACCACCGCTGCTGCACTTGCCAGCCATCAGCAGCTTCTGACTGAGTAGCACTCCCCTCCCCCTGTGGGAGCAAACTGACCATCATAGCAAATAGTCGTTTCATAGTTCAGATAGTCGATTTGCATATTAGCCTTTTATTATATAGGATTGTAAAGATTATATTATAGAATTAAAATAAATACAGAATAATGCTAGGAAGGTCTACGGCCATACCACCCTGAATGCACCTGATTTCGTCTGATCTCGGAAGCTAAGCAGGGTCGGGCCTGGTTAGTACTTGGATGGGAGAATAATGCTAGAAAGTAGAGAAGCATAAGATGTATCTATTGAGATAGAATTTAAATGATCATTAAAGCTTACAGTCATACAAACTGGAATATACAATGTAGCAGATCTAAATCAAATTCTGAAGCAATGATAGCTTGGGGAAAAAAAAAAAGGAAATAATGAGTAAAGATCCACATTCTTAGGCTAGAGCTTTGGGTAGAAAAACTAATTAAAATTTTTGGCAAAATAATGCTTACCTTGCTCATCAAGAAGTTTCTTTGTAAGATCTTCAGCTTCATCTGCACCCTCTAACTCCAAGGTGTCATCATTAATTTCTAGATTCTCCAACTCAAGTTCTAAATCATCAGGATTTGATACCTCCTTATTATCTTTAGGTTCCTTTGCCTCTGCTTAAAGACAAAGAATCAGTCTCTGAATTAAAAGTCATATTGAAATTCTACTTCAAAAAAATATAAAAATTCACAAAATTTCCATTATTTATCTTAGAATCTACATATATCACTGGAAACATTTGAGTACAAATTTAATGTATTCATATTTTATAAAACACATATGCTCACTCAGAAGCAAGACCATAACTTCTAAATGGATGGATGGAGACATACATGTATGAGGATTTGTGTTAAAGATGAGGGGAAAATAAAGTTGATTAGATAAAGCAGACTCAGGCTAAGGAGGGTCTCAAACTCTAAGATGAGTTCAGACTTTTTTTTTAATGTAGTATAACCTTTGCTGGGTCAATAAGAATAAAATTCAAATGTGATATAATATGAAAATTAACTTACCAACAATATACAAGATAAATTTGAAAGACAGGAAAAAATAACATAGAGAGACCAATAAGGAAAATATAAGGAAAATATTCTTATAATTCAGATGTCAGGAGTTAGGGGAAATAAAAAAATTGCAACAAAACAAAATGTCCAGGAATTATTAAGACACTAAATGAATAGCAAGGATAACAAAGAAAAAGAAACTGAACTTAGTCAACAAGATTGGCATAATGTTGACAATTACTACTGCTCGGTAATAGGTAATTACCAGTTAACTACATTAGACTTTCTTTATGTTTGAAATTTTCATAAATAAAAAAACAAAAAATCCTGAATTCAAGAATTTATGCTTAAGAGTGATGAAGTTACAGTATAAATGAAATTGTTACATTTCTCAGCTTCATCTTCTCTTATAGTCCTCCAATCACATTATTTCTGCACTGAAAGCAGAAATGTTTTACTGATACTTAATAAATACCATATCATATTTGAGAGAATCAAAACTCTAGTATGGACTAGTTTTGCTGCTTCTAAATAGAGACAGACTAATATCTACTCATTCACTCTTCCTTTCAGTCAACTAAAATTTAAAATCCTACTACATGCTAAATAATGTTCTTAGCACCAAGACAAAAAACCCTGCCCATATGGCGCATATACTCATTCTATAATGTTCCCCGATGCCTGATTATCAAAAACCAACATTTGCTGACTAGCCACTATGTATTCAGAACTATACTAAACATTCAGAAAAAGCTTAAAATCTGACCTTTGTTCTCAAAAATGCACAGTCTATCTGAAGAAATCAAACCAATATGCACTTGAGAGTCAAGTGGGGTATAGTGATGAGAGGACTGCAAGCAGAAAGTAGAACAATGCATAAAGGCCATGAGCAAGAAGACTGGCTGTTACACAGACTTTTTGTAAAGGAGAAAAAAGAGCAATGCGTTAACAGATACAGTTGAAGAGGAGGACTTTTTTTTTTTTTTAATGTTTTTATTGATTTCAGAGAGGAAGAGAGAGGGAGAGAGATAAAAACATCAACGGTGAGAGAGAATCACTGATTGGCTACCTCTTACACAGCCCCAACTGGGGATCAGTTTGATATGCCCACCACGAATCAAACTGTAACCTCCTGGTTCACAGGTCGATGCTCAACCAATGTGCCACACTGTCTGTCCAGGCAAGAGGAAGACTCTAACCAAACTATGCAGAGCCCTCAAGACAATGTTAAGTTTACGTTATACTCCAAATAAATGTAAAGTCATTGAAAAGTATTAGGTAGAAGAGTAAAAATTAAGTTTTAGAATGCATAGAGGGAACAAGAGCAAACACAGGGCAGCCAGGTAGGAGGATAGAAAATGATGGTAGCTTAGATTAGAATAGTAGCAGTAAATATAAAATACAATTGAGATATATTTAGAGATTAAATTAGCCCTAGCCAATTTGGCTCAGTGGATAGAGTCAGCCTGCAGCCTAAAGGGTCCCAGGTTCGATTCTGGTCAAGGGCACATGCCCAGGTTGCAGGCTTGAATCCCAATTTGGGGCTTGCAGGAGGTAGCCATCAATGATTCTCTCTCATCATTGATGTTTCTGTCTCTTTGTCCCCCTCTCCCTTCCTCATTGAAATCAATGAAAACATTTATTTTTTTAAAAGAGATTAAATTAGTAGACTTTATTATTAAACTGACTATTTCCCCTTCTTCCACTGGATCCTAAGAAACACTGGCATTTTACAGATTTCTGAAAGTGGAAGTCCAAGTTAAGTAGAAATAAAAATCAGGAGGATTTAGTATCACAGAAGCAACAGGGAAGAAATGATCCAAAAAGGAAGCAGTAAATTTGAATGGCTTGAGATCAAATGACACAAAGACTAGGAATTGCCCTAGAGAGAGAGCAACATAAAAATAATTGGTAACTTTGGGTAGAGCTGGTGTTTTTAAGTCAAATTGGAATGAATTGAAGAACGAGGAAATAAGAAAGTGAAGTCTCCATGCATAGCCAATTCTTTCAAGAGGACTCAAAGAGCTACAAGAAGAGTAGAGGCCCAGGGGGTTTCAAAGTATTCACAATTTGCTTTTATCTGTTTTGTTTTTAAAAGATGAGAAAATGTTTGTATACTAAGGTCGGTATCCAGTAGAGACAGATAAATTGAGAAAAATTGGTACTAAAAACATAAATAAGGAATAATGGATTACACAAAGTTCAGGAGAAATAGAGAGACAAGACTCAGAGAGAGAAAATGGACTGGCCTTTGACAGATGTAAAAGTTCACCATATCACCCAAGGAAGAAACATTATTTAAGTAACTAGAGGACCAATGCACAGAATTTGTGCAAGAATAGGTCATCCTTTCCTTGGCTGCCGGAACTGGCTTCCCTCCGACACCAGGGACCTGGGCTTCCCTCCAGCCGCCAGCAGGCACCTGGGACCCAGGCTTCTCTCTCAGTCCTGACTTTGTCCAGAAAGTAGTCCTGAAGGACATCCAGTCTAATTAGCATATTATGCTTTTATTATTATAGATAAGGCAGGTGGATTTATAAATATCACTGGAGAACTCTCTGATAGTTCCTACCTTCTCTACAATGTAGTGCATCATGCATAATCTTTTGCTAAGGAAGGAAACAGAAGAAAAACTAGAGAAAGAATAAAAATGTGTTATGCAGCATGAAAGAGTATCTTAAGATAATTTGAAAAGCAGTATAACACAGCAATTAAGAGCACAAGTCATCCAATCGGTGTGGTTCAATGGTTGAGCATCGACCTATGAACCAGGAGGTAAAAGTTCAATTATTGATCCGGGCACTTCCCCAGATTCCGGATAAAATCCCCAATGGGGAGCATGCAGGAGGCAGCCAATCAATAATTCTCTCTCATCACTGATGTTTCTCTCTCTCTTCCCACTCCCTTCCTCTCTAAAATAATCAAAAAGATAGTCTTTTAAAAAAAAAAAAAAAAAGAGCACAAGTCACCCTAGCTGGTTTGGTTTAGTGGATAGAGTGTTGGCCTGCAGACTAAAGGGTCCTGAGTTCAATTCCAGTCAAGAGCAAATGCCCGGGTTGCAGGCTCGATCCCCAGTAGGGAATGTGCAGGAGGCAGCCAATCAATGATTCTCTTTCATCATTGATGTTTCTATCTCTCTTTTTCTCCCTTCCACTCTGAAATTAATGAAAATATATTTAAAAAAGAAAAGAAAAAAGCACAAGTCACTGACAGTCTAATAGCTGTCTTAAGTTATTTAACCCTGGGTAGTTGTGTAACTTCTTTGTGCCACAGTTTCATTACCTAAAAAATAGGGATAACAATAGTAGGTGCTTCAGAGTTATTATGAGGATTAAATAAAAAAATACATTGTAAAATGCTAAAATGATATTTGGTACAAAGTGATTATTAAATAAAAATTATTAGCTATTTTTTAATGAGTTCCCTAATAAATGCAACAGAATATAAAATTACTTTTAAAAAAGTTAACTGCTCTCTCTCCAAATCTGTCACCACCCCCTTCCATCTCTTCATTTCTATGGTTTCACAGAACTCCCTTCAGAAAACATAGTATTACTGGCATTCAGGACCTTCCACCATACTGATAATCTCAAAAATTCTAATTTTTCTAAAGTAGTTCTTCCTCACAAAGAGATTCTAGCCTAGAAAGAGCATTCCACTAAAACAGCACTAAAGAGATAACACTGTCCCTAACAAACCAACTAGGGAAAATTTAGAACTTATCAAGAACTCACATGAATTCACTGTATTATAAATATATTCAAATTATTTCACATTAAATTGTTTTGACACTATTGGAAGTATATCAAACTCCATTCCATATTATTCTGTCATGCCTTTAATCTAATGAGTCAAGGTTTCTATTATAAAACTAGTAACTAGCCCTAGCCAGTTTGGCTCCAATGGATAGAGCATCGGCCTGCAGACTGAAGGATCCTGAGTTCAATTCCAGTCAAGGGCATGTGTCTGGGTTGGGGGCTTGATCCCCAGTAGGGAGTGTGCAGGAGACAACCGATCAATGACTCTCATCATTGATGTTTCTATCTCTCTCTCCCTCTTCCTTCCTCTCTAAAATCAATAAAGATATTTTTAAAAAGAAAAAGTAGTAACTAAAAAATATTTTTTTACGAATAATATTTTGAAACTAATTTTTATAGCACGTAAGTAAAAATTTGTCCTCTAGAATTTACCTTTAGAATCATCTTTGTTGGACTCTTTATTCTGACAACTTTTTTCATTATCTTTAAACAAGATGGCTGGAACAAAAGCTTTTAAATCAATGAGGTTCTCATAGAAATTCCGAGCATCTTCATCTTCCCATATACCACCTTCCAAGTCATATTCTCCAGGTTTACCAGGTGTAAATATATCAATTCCAGGCCCATGCTCTACAAAAAAATAAACCACAGAGAATTAAAACTATTTCAGGGTAAGCATGCTAAACACCACAAGATATTTTACATTTTCAATTTTATAACTAATGAATCTTGAGTGTTCAACTAACAGAAGCTTCTTCAATCAATGAGCACTCTGGATTATTCTCATAACCATCTTTAACATCAAATCAGAAATTGTTTTAGGTAAAGCTCTAAACAAGAACAGACTAGAGGACAGCATAGGATAAAGATGATTTTCTCTTCAATATTTTAAGTAATTAATATAAAAGTAAGTAGCCACTTGATATATTAAGCCTATCTTCATGAAACTTAAAACGAAGATAAAAATATATAATCATGGACATTTCTAAATTATCCAGCTTCAAGACTCTCCTTCTTCATTAAGCCTTTTTTATTATTCCCAATCCTCTTATATCATAACTGGTGCACAAATTTGTGCATGGGTGGGGTCCCTCTGGGTGGCCTGCAGAGATCAGGCCAAAACCCACAGTTCAACACCACCTGCAGCTCCTACCTGCCACTCCTGCTCATCCGAGCCCCACTGTGCCTACCACAGGCTGGTGCCCAATCAGTCCTGATCTGGAGAGGTTTGTCCTGCTGCAGCAGCACTCACATCCATGAGCCCCGAGTCTAGCAACCCCCCGAGGAGAGTGGCCTACGGGATTAGGCTAAAACCGGCTCTCCAATATCCCCCAAGGGGTCCCAGATTGCAAGAGGGTACAGTCAAGGTTGAGGGACCCCACCAGTGCACGATCAGGCCAGGGAGGGACTGCAGGAGGGCTCCAGGATATGTCTGGCTCATCTCGCTCAGACCCCAGCAGCAAGATAACCTACCGTATTTTCCGGCATTTAAGACGACCCCCTAATTTTACAGTTAAAACATAGGTTTAGGCCTATATTTGCTGTATAAGACTACCCCCCACTTCAAAGAAAAGACTTACTTTGCCGTCAAGATCTGCAGGTAATTTTTGTGCAATTTTGGTCTTTTGCCCCCGGTTTTCAGTTGACTTTTTTTCGTTTCAAAAGTCATCTTATACGCCGGAAAATACTACCATCAGAGCATGTGCCCCCTGGTGGTCAGTGCACGTCATAACAACTGGTCGATCAGTTAACTGTCTGCCCCAGAGTGGTCAGTGCACATCATAGCAAGTGATTGAGGAGCCTTAGCATACATTAGCATATTATGTTTTGATTGGTGTTTGGTTGTTCTGCCATTTGGTCTATTTGCATATGACCCTTTTATTATATAGGATTATCTCCCCATAGAGACCATAAACCCTTAATTATAAAGCATCTTCCATATGCACCCCTTTGTTTATTGCAGTGTAATTTACAAGAGGCAATAGATGGAAGCAATCCAAGTGGACAAAGAAGTTGTAATACAAAGGAACATTTTACCTTTTGCAACAGCATGGACAGACCTAGAGGGTATTATGCTAAGTGAAATAAGCCAGTCAGAAAATAAACAAAACTGAAACTGACTCATAGACACAAAAAATAGAGTGGGGGGTTGCCAGAGGGGAGAAGGTGAAAGAGATAAAGGGATTAAGAAGTACAAAATAGCCAGTGAATATGATTTAATGACTGAGCGTTAATCCATGAACCAGGAGGTCATAGTGAGAACACATGCCAGGGTTGTGCCAGAGTTGTGTGCTTGACCCCCCAGTAAGGAGCATGCAGGAGGTAGCCAATCAATGATTCTCTTTTATCACTGATGTTCCTCCCTCTCTCTCTCTCTCTCTCTCTCTCTCTCTCTCTCTCTCTCTCTCTCGCCCTTCCTCTCTCTGAAATCAATAATTTTTCTTGAACATATTTTTTTACAGATAAAAATAAAAAATAGAAGTACAAAATAGTTATAGGGATATAAAGTAAGCATAGGGAACACAATCAATAATCTATACTAGCCCTAGCCAGTTAGTTTGGCTCGGTGGATAGAGCATCAGCCTGCAGACTGAAGGGTCCCAGGTTCGATTCCTGTCAAGGGCACATGCCCAGGTGGTGGACGTTCAGGAGGCAGCCAATCAATGATTCTCTCTCATCATTGATGTTTCTGTCTCTCCCTCTTCCTTCCTCTCTGAAATCAATAAAAATATATTTTTAAAAATAATAATAATCTATATTAATAAAAGCCTACGTGGCCCTTGCACACAACGTTATCACAAGATGGCCACCACAAGATGGCGTCACAAGGATCCAAGAAGAAGTCCACATTAAAAAAAATTATTGGCACTGTTAAACTTCACTGGCCAAAAACCAGAAGAACAGTGGACTGAAACTGGAAATATTACTAGGGAAGAATTAAGACAACGAAGAAAGAAAAAGGAGAGGAAAAATCGAAGTAGTAATGAAAGAAATACTAAAAATTGTTACAGACCAATGAAAGGTAAAAGTAAAATGTGACAAAAGCAGGGTTAATATCCAGCATTCAGTTTTTCAACGATTATCACATAAAGATAAGGAAAAAGAGGTAAAAGAGAACAACAAAAAAGGAAAAATAGGAGATCTCTACCATAAGATTAAAAAATTAAAGGGAAATTCAAACGTAGATTAGGAATGCTAAAAATACAACAAGAAATCACACTCTGGCCAGGAGAGCAAAAAGGGGAGGTGGAAATAGTATACTGAAAATCTATTCAGAAGAGACAAAAGGAAGATTACTATGAGAAAGAACCTGTAATTCTAGAAAGTGAAGTGAAAAGTTGCCTTCAGTGTACTGAGAAGAAATCCATCACTAGGGGTAAATGAAATAACAATGGAATTATTTCAAGACACAAGTGCTAAATCTGTTAAAATCCTAACAAGATATGGCAACAATATGGAAAGCAAAATGGCCTACAGATTGAGAACATTCAATACACAGGTAGTCATTGGGTTATGTGGGACTTTATGTACGTCATTTCATGGTTACATCGCCTTTTCCAATCCTATCTAAGAAAAGAGTAAAATGCAAATTAACCACCACTCTGCTACGCCCACCAGCCAATCGGAGTGAGTATGCAAATTAACCCCAACCAAGATGGCTGCAGCCACAGAGAGCAGGAGGGAGGCTTGGGTTTCCCTGGCAATGGAGGAAGCCAAGCTTTCCACACATCCTGGCAGGCCCAGGCCTCAAGGGTATGAAGTTTCAATTATAGAAAGTAAATAAATTCCAACAGAAATGGCGGCAGCACCGAGCTGGAAGAGCAGGAGACTAGGGCTGCCCCAGGCGATGGAGAAAGCCAAGCTTCTACAGCCCTGGTCGGCTCAGGCATTCACTCCAGGCTACAAAGTTTCAATTGTAGAAGGTAAATAAATTCCAGATACCCGGGCCTCCGCTTGGGTAGCCGGTGGCATGGCTGGCCTGCAAACCACCACAGGCCCCTCGCCCAGGCCACTCCATGCCCTAAGGCAGTGTTTCCCAAAGTGTGGTACACTTACCCCCAGGGGTACGCATTGCACCAGAGTTTGGTGGGGATATGTACTGCGCCTAATTCTACGTTCACAAGAGTACGAAGGGTACTCAACATTACAAAAATTATAGAAGGGGTACACATATGTCAAAAGTTTTGGAAACACTGCCCTAAGGGAACCCCCAGCCTGATCCAGGTCACCCTTCAGGGCAAACCAGCCAACCCCCACCCATACACCAGGACTCTATCCTATCTAATAAAAAAGTAATATGCAGATTGACCATCACTCCAACACACAGGATGGGTGCCCCCATGTGGTCAAAGATCCTTCCCCCATGTGGACACAAGATAGCCACCACAAGATGGCCAGCAGGGGAGGGCAGTTGGGAGGCACCAGGCCTACAAGGGACGGCAGTTGAGAGGGACCAAGCCTGCAAGGGAGGGCAGTTGGGAGTGATCAACCCTGTAGGGGAGGGCAGTTAGGTGTAACCAGGCCAGCAAAGGAGGGAAGATGGGGTCAAACAGGCTGGCAAGGGAGCAGTTAGACATCAGTCAGGCTGGCATGGGAGTGATTTGGGGGTGATCAGGCTGGCAGGCAGAAGTGGTTAGGGGCAATCAGGAAGACAGGCAGGTGAGCAGTTGGGAGCCAGCAGATCCTGGTGGGATCGGGCCTAAACGGGAAGTTGGACATCCTTCTCAGGGTCTCAGATTGGAGAGGATGCAGGCTGGGCTAAGGAACATACACACACACACACACACACACACACACACACACACACACACACATGCATGCATGAATTTTGTGCATCAGGTTTCTAGTTTATTTATTTAAAAAAAAAAAGTTTTTTCATTTCGATGTTATGTACATACATGCTTTATGTTTTTATTATTTTTTTTTACCACAAGTAAAGGTCAGGAATTGTTATCTTTCTTTAAAAATTTTTTTTTTACTATCTCACTTCATTACTGCTGTGTATGTGCTCCATGTGAGTGACAGAGGTGCTTATGTAGGTGGGTTCCGACTAATGGCAAAATCGCAGTACATCGCGCTGTAGGAAAAGATCTCCAATATAACCCAAGGACCTACTGTATAGCACAATCATCAAGAAAGGAGATGCAAAGGAGTACAGTAACAACAGCACCATTGTTCAAATTTCCCACACAAGTAAAGTGATATGTAAAGTGATCCTATATAATAAAAGCCTAATATGCTAAATGTCCAGTTGTCTGGTTGGCCATTCAACCAATCAAAGCGTAATATGCTAATGAAATGCTAAGGCCGCTCAACTGCTCACTATGATGTGTACTGACCAACAGGGGACAGAGAGTCGACTGGTCAACCAGTCACTATGACATGCACTGACCACCAGGGGATAGATACTCAGACTGGTAAGCTAGCTTGCTACTGGGGTCCAGCCAATCAGGACTGAGCAAGGTAGGCCGGACATGCCCTGGAGCCCTCACGGTCCATCCCTGGCTGGCCAACCTCCTGCGTCCCTTCTCGGTCCCGATCATGAACCAGTGGGATCCTTAGGCCTGGCCTGCACCCTCTCACAATCTGGGCTGAGGAACCGCCCCCGCAAAGTGCACGAATTTTGTGCACCAGGCTTCTAGTACAATAATAGCTTCTACCTTACATGGTGTAAGAAATGCCAGATGTTCAAAATGGATTCAGAAAAGGAAAAGGTATTGAGATCTACTTGCAAGCATTTGCTGGATAATACAGTGCTCCAAAGAATTTCAGAAGGTTAGTCTCTATAACTTATACACTATAATAAAGCCTTTGATTGTGCTAATCATGAAAAGCTATGGGTTGCTCTGAAAGAAATGGGTGTGCCTCAGTATTTGATTGTCCTGATGAATATGCTGTATCTTGAACAGGAAGTCACTATCATGACAGAATACAGAGACAAAATAATCTCCTAGAGGCAAATGTGTCACACAAGGTTGCATTATAACTGTTTAATCTCTATGCAGAACATATCACATGAAAAACTGGGCTAGACTCAGAGGAAGGAGGAATGAAAATTGGTAGAGTAAATAACAATTAACTTAAGATATGCAGATGATACTATCTTACTGGCAAAAAGTAGCAATGATTTCAAACGACTTCTGGTGGACGTAAAAGTGCCAAAGCAGGACTGCATTTGAACATTAAAGTCAAAAATCATGACTACAGAAAAAATACACAACTTTAACGTAAACAATGAAGACACTGAAATTGTTAAAAATTTTGCTTACCTTGGTTCACTTATCAATTCAAATGGAGACTATAGCCAAGAAATCAAAGAAGTATAAGACTCAGAGAAGGGCAGCAATGGAAGAATTAGGATAGATCCCCAAGAGCAAATATGTGTCATTAGAGACAGAGGGTAAGGGTCATCCACACCCTTAACTTCTCAATTACTAGTAAAGATGAGAAAGTTGGACAATGAAAAAGTTGACAGGAAAAAACTGATTCATTAGAAATACAGTGTCGGAGGAGAGCTGTACCAATACCCGGACAGCCAGAAAGATGAACAAGTGAGTCCTAGAGCAAATTAAGCCTGAAACATCACTGGAAGCAAAAATGACAAAATTGAAACTGCCCTACTTTGGTACATCATGAGAATGCAGGGTGCTTTGGAAAACACGAGAGTGTTGGGAAAAATAGAAGCAGCAGGAAAAGAGGAAGATCACATATGAGATGAATTAACTCCATAAAAGAAGCTATGGCCCTAGCCGATTTGGCTCAGTGGATAGGGCGTCAGCCTGCGGATTGAAGGGTTCCTCCCAGGTTCAATTCCAGTGAAGGGACATGCCTGGGTTGCGGCCTTGATCCCCAATGGGGGGGCGGGGGGGGGGAGAAAACAGCCAATCAATGATTCACTCTCATCATTAATGTTTCTATCTCTCTCCCTCTTCAAAATCAATAAAAATATGTTTTAAGAAAAATAAGAAGCTATGGACATGGGTCTACAGAAACTGAGCAGGGTGTTGAGAGCAAGACACTTAACATCACTCATTCAGAGTCACCAGGAGTTGGAACTGGTTTGACAGCACATAATACACACACTGTACAAATACTTCCTGTTAAAATTTTTAAGTAAATAGGATTGCCAGATAGTTTTAAGATTAATAATTTATTTCAAAAAGATTACTAATTTATTAATACTTATCTACCTAACATAAATATAATTATTTTACCAAGTAGTTAGTATGACAGGTTAGAGCAATATATTAGAGAACCTACCATCTTAAGGACAATCAAAAAGGAAGTTTAAACACCTTTGAAATAATATGAAAAATAACTCCTCTTATAAATCATAAACAACCCTGGTAGGCATGCTCAGTGATTAGAGTGTTGGCCTACGTAATACTTCTCAGGTTCAATTTCCAGTCAAGGCCATGTACCTGGATTGCAGGTTCAATCCCCACCCCCAATCAGGGCGCATGCTAGAAGCAACCAGTCCATGTGTCTCTTAAATTGATGTCTTTCTTCCTCTCTTTCCTCTCCCTCTCCTTTCCCTCCCATGCCCTTCCACACGCTCTAAAAATCAATGGAAAAAATACCCTCACTAGTTGGGTGAGGAATATAAATAAGTAAATAAATAGATCACCATCATCATACACAATATCACAAACTGCAAGGTAAGATTTAGCTTTAAATAACAATTTAAGATAATACATCATTGAAAACAAACAGATTAAAAGCAAGGATATAGACATACTAGAATTCCAAAGGTCAAATGCATTTTATTACCTATCCTATATAATAAAGCCCTAATATGCAAATGAACCAAATGGTGAACCGTCTGGTCGCTATGACCGCACTGACCACCAGTGCGGTCATAGCGAATGTTCAACGCAGGAGCTGTCCCTGGTGGTCAGTGTGCTCCCACAGGGGGAGCGCCACTCAGTCAGAAGCCAGGCTCACGGCAGTGCTAAAGAGCCCGGCAGACAGGCAGTAAGAAGCAAGAAGTCCTGGATTGTGAGAGCCCCAGCCTAGCCGGCAGAAGGACACCCCCCAAGGGGTCCTGAACTGCCAGAGGATACGAGCCAGGCTGAGGAACAATTTTCCTGCACCAGGTCTCTAATTTGGTAAATAAAGTGAATCTTCCTATAATTCAAGAATGATTTACAACAGGCCCCTTGGATATAAAACAAGAACATTAGTTATAAAAGAATTCAAAGAAATCATCATAGTATTATAAGTTAATAATTATTCTCTAAATTTAAAACCCTTTACATTCAGCAGAGCATTTCAACTAGTTTTTCAAGGTTATTAGGTCTTATTACTACCACATTTACAAATTTTTAAAAGCATGTAAAAGGTTTAAATTTTCAATACACATCTGGCAAATAATATTCTTTAATGATAGTACTTAGTAAAAATTATAATATTTGTTTTTAAGAATATCTTACCTTCTGGTGTTGGTTTGTCTTGAGGAAGATCTGGCATATTTTCATCCAAAAGATCTGCTAAGGATTGAGAATTTGCCAGCAGCTTCTGATAAGACATAGCAAATTCCTCATACTGTTTATGCCTATCTTCACTTAGCTCCCCTTTAGAATGTAGAATACGCCTATTAAAAAAAAAATTAAAACTGATAATCTTATCAAACTACATATGATCATATGTTCCACATATCACACAAGCTTATTACTACAATATTTTTTGACAACATATTTTTATTAAACATTTTCAAGATATATCTAAAAACTAAAAATTTGTATACAATTCACCTAAGCATTTTAACACTGGTTCTTCAAAGAATAAGTATGATTAACAATCATGCCTGCAAACATAAAATTTAACATTATGCCACTAAATAAAAATTATTTAATCTTATTACAGTCATACTCCCCTCAGAAACATGGTTAACCAAAAATACTTAAAATAACTCCTGACACAACTTAAATGAGTTCTTTTTCAAAAATAAGTTAGAAAGAACCAGTATCTTTATTTATTTATTTTTATTGATTTTTTTTTTTACAGAGAGGTAGGGAGAGGGATAGAGAGCTAGAAACATCAATGAGAGAGAAACATCCACCAACTGCCTCCTGCACACCCCCCAATGGAGATGTGCCCGCAACTAACGTAAATGCCCCTGACGGGAATCGAACCTGGGACCTTTCAGTCTGCAGGCTGACACTATCCACTGAGCCAAACCGGTTTCGGCAGAACCAGTATCTTTAAACATTCACAAATATTTGAATCAACATTATCTTTTGGAAAAAGCAATTATCTTCTATATAACCAATTCTTAATTTACTGTGCAAGAACTGGTTATTTATCCAGGTAACAAATATTAACTGAACAATCCACTTAACCAAGCCCAGGTCATTTCTAGGAGCAGAGGACACAACTTCTCTTCCACTCTGCAAATAGTTTACTAAGTCACCCTTAATTAGAAATGCAAAACTATTGAAAATTTTCAAAATATATAAAGTGAATTAAAAATCTTACTATATTAGTATAGATGGTTGATATGTCTATAACTAGATCTAGTCTTTTAAATATTAAAATTTATGCAGTAGGGTAACATTTGAAATTTATAAATCTAAATGCAAATGACAGATTCACAAAGTCCATTATAAAGTGATTTTTATAAGCAGTATATATAAAATTGTTTTAGTTCCTTGTGATTTGAGTTTTCCTATGAACAAGAAAAAAAATGCTTTAGAAGATTTTTTTGTAGTTATTTTCTTAAAAGTTACAAAAAATAAAGTAGAAAGACTATGCCTACATTTATTCATTCCTGCTTATTTAAAACATTTTCCAGATTTCCCCATCTTACTCCATTCCTACCTACTTTTGTGTACATTTTGTACCATTCCAAACAGCATTTTCTAGTTTAAGAATATCGGTTCCCATAACAAGCACAAGATAGATCAATGTATATATATATTAGTTACTATTTATTCACTCCCAAAATTTTTTTTCAAAATATGGCCTATTAGGATCTAAAATGAGAAATTGTCAATCATTTTCTTATGATTTATATATACATTAGACCATATAATTGTTTGGACAGATTAGTAAAATATAATAATAGTTAATCCGTAATAAAAAGCATTTCCCTTAAAACTAAAAATACTGTCATAAAGAAGTTTCTTTCTCCATTTATTTCAGACTAATTTTAGAGGCAAAAAAAAAAAGTTTCTTTTGGCTTTATGGTTAAATTTTAAAGCTTAAAACAAAAATCCAAAGCATTTAAAAATATTGAAACTTCGAAAGAAATGACAAACATTACTTTGAATGAGCTTATTAGAACTTTCAATTACAATGTCATTTTGGAAGTTTAAAAAAGTCACTAAAATTAAATAAATGATTTAATCAATACTACTCATATGTTCTGCAATGTATTATTAGGAAAAAATGTTAATTAATAAAAACTGAAGTGTTTATGCTGAAGCAAATTATGTTAGAAGGGTTAAGAATTGCCCTAGCCAAGTGGCTCAGGTGCTTGGAGTGCCGCCAGATACGTAGGTTGCAGGATCAATCCCCAGTTGGGGGGCAACTGACAGATATTTCTCTCTCACACTGATGTTTCTCTAAAAAAAAAAAAAAAAAAAAAAAAAAAAAAAAAAACAAAACTGTAAAAAATCAATAAAAGCATATCCTCCGTAAAAAAAAAAAATAAAAATAGTGGTGGACCTAATCTGACCTATGGACCAAAGTTTGCCAATCCCTGTCATAATTTGAGTTAACTTAGTATCATTATTAAATGTATTATAAATGAGCTCTTTCTCTCATATCACATGATATAAAAAACAATGAAACAAGATTAATTCCAAGTCATATTCATTATAACAAAAATATAAGAAAGTAGCCAATCACCCAATATATGTAAGAAATCATGGTCTGAAAATATCCCTAGGGTACATCAATCCTTGATTTCTGGAGTGTTTTTATATTAAAGCTGACAGAAAATAGCAAATAGTCCATTCTTAAATCAAGCATTATCTCATAAATCTTATTACTTCTTTTATTTTGTATACTGTTTACTACTGTTTTATAATTTTAAAAATGAATTTTTAAAATGCAGCTAGCATACAAATTTTCAAATCATAAGATGCACAAAGAGAAATTCTCATTGCAAAATCATACTGGCCCTAGCTAGTTTGGCTCAGTGGATAGAGCATTGGCCTGTAGACTGAAGAGTCCCCCGTTTGATTCCAATCATGGGCACATGTCCAGGATGGGAGCTTTCCCCCAGTGTGGGCATGTAAGGAGGCAACCAATCAATGATTCTCTCTCATTGCTGATATTACTATCTTTCTTTCCCTCTTCCTTCCTCTCTGAAATCAATAAAAGTATATTATTAAAAAATTTCTGAATGATTATTGCAGGCAATATATTAAGAGTGAACATTTATTATATACTGAAAATGATCCAGATACTATTATTGTTTTCACAGACATAAATTCACAAATCTAGAACTTGAGCCCAAGCCAAGTCTGGCTTCAGACAGTACTGACTTTCAAATTAAAATTACCTACTTGATACTTAATACTGAAATTAGAATGTCTCTCAAATGCATATGTCAAAAGCAAGCTTTCGATATATTGAAGGTGCTAGTTTTATATCCTTTTTTGGGGTTCTTCTTTTGTTTAAATACGACTTGGTAAGTACTGAAAGGCTAATGTAGTTACTAGACACTTTAAAAACAAGTACAAGTACTAAATGCAGATGAAGATAACTATAAGGAAGGTGTGGAAAATATAGTATGAAGAGGAAGGAAAGAAAATGATTCTGTCACTTACTACCATGTTTCCCCGAAAATAAGACATCCTCTGAAAATAAGACCTACTTACAGGTTTCCTTCTGAGTGAAATGTAAGTCATCCCCCCCGAAAATAAGGCCCCTCTAGGCTAAACATGAGAGATTTGGTCCACTGATTCTGAAAGAATCACAAGAAATTCACCAGGAAATTCAGGAATTGGATTGTTATGATGATGTTCCAGAAGATGATGACATGATTGTCATTGAATAAATGAATAAATTCTTGATACTGTAGGATTCATAGTTTGTCTGGTTTGTGTTGACAACTACCGTACTACCGTATACAGGTAATAAATTTTCTTTATTTTCATTTAACAATAAATGTGTACTGTATTCTTCTTCATGGAAAAATCTAAGACATCTCCTGAAAATAAGACCTAGCGCATCTTTGGGAGCAAAAATTAATATAAGACACTGTCTTATTTTCGGGGAAACAGGGTAAGTCACACTGGGCAAGCTCTTTAATCCCTAAATCTGATTTATCACATTCAAAATAGAGATTTCTTTCAAGGGTATTATGATCATTTAAGATAATAAAAACAGTATTTTTCTGGGGGGGAGGGGGAGCTAGAGCCCACTGTTGAAAAGGCAAGAACCTCAATGCCAATATTATTTTGATCTTCAAATACTCAAATTAAAAAGAAAATATCATGACAAGAACAGAAAATCCATTTTAGCTTTGACCTATGGAATCACTCAAAATAACACAGAAGACATGGTTAAAATCTTGAAAAAGTAATCATGAAGCAGATCCATATAAAACTCCTAGAGCCCGGGTGATGTGGCTCAGTGATAAGAGCATCAATCTATGTATCAAGAGGTCTCCAGTTCAATTCCTGGTCAGGGCACATGCCCCAGCTGTGGGCGCAATCCCCAGTGGGGGGCATGCAGGAGGCAGCCAATCGATGTTGATGTTTCTCTCATCAATGTTTCTCCCTTCCTCTCTCTCTGAAATCAATAAAAACATATTTAAAAAATTAAAGAAAACTACTAGGTTTTACTTTTCATCTCCTTTAGCACAATGTCAAATTTTCACAAGAATAACTTAAATTTCATGAGTATTAACTTACATTTTATTTTGGGTTTTTTTTTTTTATAATCCTGTGCAAAAAGAAACTAGAGCACAGTTAAAAATATTTTTAATTTCAGAAAGGAAGAAAGAGAGAGACAAACATCAATGATCGGAGAATCATTGATCGGCTGCCTCCTGTACCCCCTACACTGAGGATCACACCCCCAATCCGGGCATGTGCACTCACTTGGGAGTTCAACTGTGACCTCCTGCGCCTGCTGGCTGGGCAAATATCCTAGCTCAGTGGTCGGCAAACTCATTAGTCAACAGAGCCAAATATCAACAGTACAACAATTAAAATTTCTTTTGAGAGCCAAATTTTTTAAACTTAAACTTCTTCTAACACCACTTCTTCAAAATAGACTTGCCCAGGCCATGGTATTTTGTGGAAGAGCAACACTCAAGGGGCCAAAGAGCTGCATGTGACTCGCAAGCTGCAGTTTGCCAACCATGGTTCTAGCTAATAAAGAGGGACTATGTTAATTGACCCTGATGCTATTGCAAAGATGGCGACATTCACAGCCAATAAAGAGGAAATATGCTAATTGCTTCCCAGTCCTCAAAGATGGCAGCACCCACAGCCAATGAGGGAGTATGCTAATTGACTGCCCTACCCTCAAAGATGGCGGCGCCACAGCCAATAAGGAGGGATTATGCTAATTGACTGTCATGCCCTCAAAGATGGTGGTCTACAGCCACAAGATGGTGGCACCCAGTCCCCTCAG